CGGTTCCAACTCTGGCGAAATTCAGATTTTTTTGGAACATTTTTTGAAATTATGTGCTGCAAAACTTTTTGAATAATTTTTAATATTAAAATAAAGTAGATGATTTCCCCTTTCACATAATAAAATAATTATTTTCTTTTGTTTAAAAATGACTGGATAGTGTGGATTTGTTTAGCCAAGGTTGTTTCATACTAACATCTGGGAAAGTGCAAAAAGGTAATAAAATATTTTTCAAGTAAAGTTAACTCAGAAAAGAAATAACTGCTAGTGGAATTTCATACATAGAAGGTAGTCTTACAAAGTGAAATAGTTTGAAGGTCTGTAAGAAGTTGGATCAGACTACTGTAGAAGCCAGAATCGGCAGGTCATGTCAATGTGGAGAAATTAACTTCTTTTGGCAAAGCTTTAAGTTGAACAAAACATTTGAATATGTGAAATTGTAGAGCAACTCGAGTTCTACAAAATGAGACGTAATACGACTCTGGCAAAGATTCCGTTCAATTACATGAAGCACAATAATCTTTACTCACTCTACTCTAAAAAAATAATGCGACTTAGGATCAAATTAACTCGCATTAATGTGTCTTATTTTCACAGAATAAGGCACATTAATGCGATTTAATTTGATCCTAAGTCCCATAGTTTTTAGAGTGTATAATAAGTATACAGAAAACAAGTGTTGCAGATTGTATTATTTTTCCGCAGTAATTGTTTTTATACAAAAACTTCCAGTCATATAAAATAAAACCCGGAGCGTTCCTCTGTCCAACAAAAAAATAACCTTGATGGTTAGTTAAGAAATAACGCAGATATTCACGTTTTTTTTCGTGCAAACTTTTGGAACACCCTTTAGATTATCTTTGAGTAAAAGATAAAGTTTTCAATTTATTAGGTACTCTGCTACATTCAACAGTGATATAAGGAAAAAATGAAGTTGGAGAACAAAATTATGGATAATAATTATTATTGAGATATGCTGTTTTATTCTGTATATGAAGTGCTACTAAATCGTTTATTATTTTGAAATCATGTCATAGAATATTCTTAATAAATTATTGCAAAAGGTTAAGCCAACCTAAATAGATACGATTATTTTGTTTATATATGAAATATTTACAACCGGAAATCAAACATGCAAATTTGTATTGCAGTGGAGAAAGAGAAATTAAGTGTGCTGCGTATGTAGAAGAATACACAATTCAGTGGTACGTAAATATAAGAGAAAGACATATCTCATTATAGATTTGATCGAGTACTATCGTTTAAAAAAGATGTTTACGTTGATACATTAGAAATAAGATTTTACTACATTTGTTATGAGTATACATTGTATGTTTATTCCAATTAAGAGAAGTTATTAAAAACAAACCTAGATGGTTATATGTATCAATCTCTACTAAAGTAGTATTATTATTAATGATGATTGGATTTAGTATGATATTTACTGTTCTTTTTTTGGATGATCTTTTAACGTTTAAACAAAGTTATTATAAAATATTCGATGCATAAATCTTCACTGAATTATGAATACTTTTAAAAAAAATTATTTTGTTTGAATCTAGGATATCACAAAAAGTTTATCTTTTCTACATTAATGAAATTTCCCTAAAACATGTCTTCAATGGAATAAGTTTCTACCCTTCCAACAGAGTTCAAACTTACCATAAATCATTTTCTACACCTAAAGGATTAATAATATATCGATGAATATTTCCTGAATTCTACAATGGATTTTCTAAAATTCCTTTCAATTCACTTTTATCATGTTTGTAATCAAGTAATTTCAAAATAGTGTTGTCGACATATTACTCATTTTAATTTCTTAAGTCTCATTTCATTTATTCAACATCGTCTAATCACATGCTGCCATATAGTAGAAATGATTCTTATTTAATCTTCGGAATCATTCTTAGAATCAGATTTACTAGAATCATTTACATTTGACGTTATTAGTTCATATTTTTCCATTTTCTCTTCGTTTTTATCATTTTTTCTAACTTTTTTTTGAATATTGTACTTGTATTACCGCATGGTTTCTTACTAGGAGTAGTCTAGTGTTCACGTTCAAATAAGTTCTCCAGTTTTTTGAAGCGTTTGAATTAATTACTAAAATTGTACAGCGTCTCGAGTTTCTTCAATCTCTAATCTATATGATTACTTAATTGTTCTATAATCTCAGTAGACTTGACTATTGTTAAATAGGAAACAATGATTTCAATAAAATAGCTGTGAAAATCATCAAATTCTTTTATGTTGACAAAATGTTCTAGAGACGTTTTGACAAAAGATTTTTTTGTCTAAAAAACGACTTGTTTACTATGGTTAATACACGTAATGTCAGATAAATATGTCAAAAAAAAATATTTTTCTCGCTTAAAACGAGAAAAAATTATTGCTCATGTAAAAACGACATGAATTTTTTTTTTTTTTTTGACAGCACAAAAGCTATCAGATTTAGTATGAAATTTGTTTTTTTCTCCTTCCGTCGAATACAAATTGTCTAAATCCGTAATAATTAAATTATTATAGTGGCAAAGTGAACATTGATACACAGGGCATCTGACTTATCTTATAATTCTATCACTATATAACTAAGAATCTTCACTAATTTACAGGATAGATACGTTTTACTAATTACTTATTAAAACTTCAACTCAATTCAAATTTTTTCTTTTTGTTTTCAAAATAAAATCTGTCATATCCATTATTGCCTTATTATGGTTATTTGTTATAACTAATTAAACTAAAGCACTATCGAATGACATTTATCGTTCGTGCGTACTTTTACTCTTCCGAGTACAACATTTTCGTTATAGTTTATTCTATGATAAATGTTCACTCTTTGAATTTTTTCATATATTTTCTCTTTTTTTCTAGATTCATTTTTACATCAACAACATCATTGTCATCATTTTTCTTTTCTTTCCGTGTTTCACATGAGAGGATTTATTGAATGTTATAGAAGAGAAATTTCCCAGTCGCACTAATTTTCAATGTTTTTAGGGCTAAACCAAGTAACTAAAAGTGGCAACCCATTAATGCACAAAAATATCATTTCTGATTTAAGTAAAGAAGCAAATTTTTTTAATCGTAAAAAAAAAATGAATTAATGTTGATAATAATAATATTAGCAAGTGTTATTATCATACTCTTATGATAATAATTAAAATTTACATTGAATGACTTTTTGTTAAGTCTATTTTATTCCATCAATTCAACATGTGAAACTCATGCTAACTGACTTTCATCAATTTTGACTAGAAAAGTCATTTTCTTTGTGTTTTCGTGCATGTGAACCACTTACTAATTGCTTTTTTTAGAGTGTCATATGACCTTGTATTATTCATTCTCTTGCTTATAGGTTTAATGTAAGTGAAAACAGTCAACCGGATAAATATTCGTGATTCTGACAATCTATTTTCTTTTAGTCAGTTTCTTGATAGTTTTTTTCTTTGACTTTATGCCCTGTAAAATGAACATATCTTAAAAACAGAAAATAAATTGGAAAACAGAAATAATATAAAAAAATGATTTATTATGCATATCTCAGTATTGACGCATCGCGTTTCAGATTTCTTTTATTTAATGTACTCTTTTCACTAAAAATAGTCATCTTTTTTTTGGTATAATGGTCTTTCTATATATACACGTGTATATAAAAAAGGATCTGGATTTTTATGTTTTGAGTATTAAAAGTAAGATTTTCTCTAGTCTTGTTTTTGTCGCGAATAAAGAACAAAAAAAATATATAGTAGTCTATGTCTGAATGAACAACGAATAAAAATTTTTTTGCATAATAAAAAATAACGAGAATATGATGGATCGTTCAAGGAAAAATTTTTACGTTCTACTACAAAAGATCATACATATACACAAAAATATATGAGAAAAAAAATATAACGATAATCATGTTTCTTATAATGGACTTTACGAAAGTGCAATCGCTCCATATTGTAGACTTATAAATTCGAAAAATGACAAAATATAGAAGAGAAGAAAAAACAAATCAATAAACTTTTTATATGAAAATAGGAATAAATATCATATCCATTTTTTTTTATTAAAAAAAATCTAATGACGACATCCTCATCATCATCGTTGCCGACCACCACAACCACAGAACCATTCAAATTTAGAACTCAAATTTTTGATCATTTAAAAAATGCTGGAGAAGTATTTGAAAATCGTATAGGTAAGTGTTATTATTTGATTTTTAACTGGAAAAAAAAATGAATTAATGTTAAATTTTTTTTTATTCATAGCACGTCCTTTATTAGCATTTAGCCGAGAATTTCGTCGACCACCATCAACTGATCGATCTCGAAATTCTACATCAAAAAAATCGATTGATAACAATGTTGAAATAAAACAATCTGTTGATAATACTCCACCCATTTTAATCGAAACGAATAACAATGACAATTTGATGACACCTAATCATCATACCATTGATGAGATTAAAGAAGACAATATAGTTGATAACAACATACCGGTGACAACTATGGACTCAATGAAAACAGCAGCCGGTAATATTTTTAATAGTATCATACATACGTTATCACCCAAGGCAAATCGACGACAATCTGATACTATTCAGGAATTTCGAAAAACAAATTGTCGTAGTTCATCCATATGTACCACAACGAGAAATGAACGTTTAAATCAATATCAGCGAAAATCAAAATGTGTTTCATTTGCTGAAGATATAGATATGGATAATGAATATGAGGAAAATGATCAAGAAAAAATTATAAAAAATGCTTGTTCAGTTGCCGATAAAATACTTACTTCCAGTTTAAACGTAATAACGTATATGTCACCTAATATTTGTGAGAATAATACTCATCAACAATCAACGTTATTACCATCATCGTCTTCTTCATCTTTATCATCAATTTCAACTGTTAATGATAATGATTTTAATATCTCGTTGCATCGTTCATTTCGTCGTCCATTATCGTCTGCTAATGAAGAACTTTGTTTTCAAGATTTAAGTGCTGAAATCGTAAATTATGTTCTAAAACATGCTATTAAAGTATTAAAACAAGAACAATTAAATATGAAAAATATTTCGAATGATGTTGACAACAATTTACAATCAATTGATTTGAATATCAAATCAACTGAAGATGATGAAGATGACATAATTGATCTCAAATAAACTGTATTTCGAATTTACTTAACAAACCGGTATCGATATATCTTAAACTTTAGCTAGTAAGATTTATTTTGACAATTCTTAACTAGACTACAAAATGCAAAATGTTCCTTCTATTCTATTAAACTGATAAATGTAACAGTGTCTAATAATGTCTTTATTTGCGTTTATGATTATTTATTTTCGAGGAAATGGCACGAATATAAATATCCTAGATGGCGATTTACAGGCACAAAAATCCTTTTATTTTTAAACGCTTTAAAATCAATAATAGTTTGAAATATTTTATCTAATTCGAAAAATTAACAAACAAAAAACCCATAGAGAACCATAAGAGAATTATTCAGACGTCAACCTCAAATGTTTCCATTGCTGTTATAATTTGTTCCAATAATGATGAGAGTTTGTATTGTT